ATGACTTCACCGTAACCCCTATCTCCCCAAAATGTATAAAATCAAACTATAACCCAACCAGTGGTATTGGCTCACACCTGTAGTCTTGGCTACTCGGGAGGCTGAGGCAGGAGGATCGCTTGAGGTCAGGAGTTTGAGGTTGCAGTGAGCTAGGCTGACACCAGGGCACTCTAGCCAGGGCGACAGAGTGAGACTCTGTCTCAATAAATAAATAAATAAAATTATTTTACAGAGCGTTAGGTTTGTTCCAGGTGGGAACCGGAAAAATATGATAAAGTCTGTGAAACAAAAGCTGTGGGAGTCTGGAGAGCCCAAGGTCATAAATCTAAGGTCAACCACAGACAGCCAGCAGGGATGCTGGCATTTCTATCCCACCTGATAAGGACTGAAGCTACTCCCCTCCCTTATCTCTGTAGGTGTTACTCACTCCCTCTCCATAAAACAAGGCTTTCCCCTCTCTTGGTGTGGACATGTTTTTCACCTCCACCCATCTGCACCCAGATGCTCAAAATAAACAGCATTTTGCTACACATGAGGCTTCTTTCTCTCTCTGGCTCTGGTCCTAACAGAATGGCTTCTTTTCCGTTGACACCATTTGGGTTTCTTGGCTGCTGATGCATCACTTTCACAATCTGGCTGGAATTTTCTCTTCTTGTTGAACTTATTTGTCTGCTGGACTTTGTTCTTCAGTGCTTTGTCTCCTTGCTGCCGGTTCTTGAACTGTTTCACACTCTTTTCCCCAGGTTTAGTGGTACTTTTCTCAAAGTTCTTACATGTCATTTTAGATCCACCTTCCTTAGCAACTTTTCTTGGGAATGACTTTGAAGAACCAGAATCATTTAGCTTTTATGAAATCTGTTTTTTTCTTGTGATGCCTTTGTACTCTTTCCTGTGATTTTTTTTCCCCTTTGACTTCCATTTGTAGCAACTTGTGCACCTGGGGCCCCTGTAAGAGATTCTTGATAGAGCTTTTTAAACAAAGTATTTGTACATACATTGTATCATCAATTCCTCACACACTCTGTGGGATACAAAGCCCAGCACTATGGAATCTCCCACTGGCAGATCCTGCCTATTCCTCTGAGGGCCACTGGCCATGTTTGTTCCTGTCACTGGACAGGCTGCCTCCCACAGTCCTTTCCTGAATGAGGAAGAGGGGAGGACCGTGGGCAACATGGGACGTGTGGGAACAGCACGCAGATATCCAGGCCCAACCTAGATATTGGCAGATAAATTAATAACAGAAAGTAGAGGGCTGGATGTGGTGGCTCACACCTGTAATCCTAGCACTCTGGAAGGCCGAGGTGGGAGGATTGCTTGAGTTTGAGACCAGCCTGAGCAAGAGTGAGACCCCTGTCTCTACTAAAAATAGAAAAAATTAGCCAGGCATGGTGGTGCATGCCTGTAGTCCCAGCTACTTGGGAGGCTGAGGCAGGAGGATCACTTGAGCCCAGGAGTTTGAGGTTGTTGTGAGCTGGGCTGACGCCACGGCACTGTAGCCCGGCGAACAGAGTGAGACACTGTCTCAAAAAAAAAAAGAAGAAAAAAAAGAAAAAGAAAAAGAAAGTAGAGGAAGACGCAGGGAACCCTGAGGAGTAGGATGGACAAGATTTGCTAACTATTTGGTCCTAACGAACAAGGGAGATGGGGCACTCCAGGGTGACTTGGACATGTGTCTCTGAGCCTGGTGACAGTATGGCATTGCCATAACATGAATGGTATCCCCAGATTACAAAATCCAGGCCCTGTTGCCATGAAGGAACAGAGAGTCATGAAGATAAAACAGGATTTGAGTTACTTATAGAGTATTTGTACTACATTATCATAGCTTGGCCACATCCATTTTCCTGGATCCCAGTATGTTTGGGAGGTGGGGGGAAGCTGTTTGCTCAGACATATGGATGACTTTGAGGAGTTCAAGACTTCAGTGGAGAAAGTAACTACAGATGTGGAGAAATCACAAGAGAAATAGAATTAGAAGTAGAGCCTGAAGATGTGACTGAATTGCTGCAATCTCATGATAAAACTAGAACAATGAAGAGTTGCTTCCTATGGATGAACAAGGAAAGTGATTTCTTGAGATGGAGGCTACTTCTCGTGAAGATGCTATGGACGTTGTAGAAATGACAACAAAGAGGTAGAGGCTGTGGAAGAAAAAAAAAGAAATGACAACAAAGAATTTTTAAATATTACATAAACTTAGTTGATAAAGCAGTGGCAAGGTTTGAAAGGATTGACTTCAATTTTGAAAGAGATTCTACTATGGGTAAAATGCTATCAAACAGCATCGCTTCCTACCGAGAAATCTTTTGTGAAAGAAAGAGTCCATTGATTGGCAAAATTCACTGTATCATTTCTAGAAATTCCCACAGCCACCACAACTTTCAGCAACCACCACCCTGATGAGTCAGCAAGCCATCAACATCAAGGAAAGATCCTCCACCAGCAAAAAGATTATGACTCCGAAGGCTCAGATGATTATTACCATTTATTAACAATAAAGTATTTTTAAGTTAAGGTATGTGCATTTTTTTAGACACAGTACTGTGGCAAACTTAATAGGCTACAGTATAGTGTACTCATAACTTTTATATGCACTGGGAAACCCAAAAATTTGTGTGATTCACTTAATTGCAATATGTACTCTGTTGTGGTAGTCTGGAACTGAACGTGCAGTATCTTCCAGGTATGCTTGTATTTTCGAAATTAACCCTTTATCTGGTGTATGGTTCAAAACTATTTTCTCCCATCCTGTAAATTGTGTCTTCACTCTGTCGATTGTGTCCTTTGTTTTTCATAAGCTTTTTAGTTCAATGTAATCCCATTTGTCTATTTTTGCTTTTGTTGCCTGTGGATGTGGGGGGGTTATATCTAACAATTCTTTGCCTTTCCTGGGACATTTCTGCCGTCAAGAACAGTGCCAGGGAGAGGGGGCCCCAATCTACACAGCCTCCTACCAGTTAGAATAGCAGCTCTCCCTTTCTGAATCTCTCACCACACTTCCCATTACAGCCTTTTCTCAGCCCATCTTAGCATGAAGAAAATCTGTGCAACTGTTAAAAAAAAAGAGAGAGAGAATTTCAAGGACAAAGAGGAAAAATTATTCAAGCTATTTTGTGAAATAAAAAAAAGCAAGAACTTGAAGAACAAATTTAAAGACTGTGAATCCATTCTTTTCTGTATCTTCGAGGCATTTGTAGTACATGCTGAGAGAAGATTCTGGAAGAATTTAAATTATGAAGGGCAGGTTAGATTATGGGATATTAATGTTATAAATTCAAAGTTCTGGGTTTTGAAATATGTTTATAAAAGCATATACACTTTGTCAACAGAAGACTATAGACTTAGAACAAATACACTCAACCAGAACCTTAGCCTAAAGATTCTTCAGAGCTTGCTTTCCAGGATTAAAGAGGCATTCCTGACCAGGCGGTGTTAGTAGACAATTCACTTCATACACTATGCACCGGGCAATGACTGTACCAGGACAGGTTGCAGGGTTTCTGCAGAACATTCTCTGTCTCTGCCCATAACATCCAGCATCCTAGGGTGATATAAACAATGTCTGCACTACTTGACAGTTCTGCTTTAACACTAGAGGAGTCTTTTTCAAAGATCACATTCTGTCACCTCCTGCCCCACCAGCATTCAGCAACACACCCTCACTTGTAGTCCTCATCTGAGGCTCCAAAGACTTTGGGGTGCAGCAGGCAAAAACTCAGCAAGGTCAGTCAAGTTCAAGCCTTGAGGAGAAGAGGGGGGAGTTGCCCAAGGTTAGACAATTGGTTCAGGTTAGCCCAGAAAGTTGTGCTCAGCTCTGGAAGCCACTCCCAAGCCTCCTTGCCTCCACTGGACCTCAACACTAGCGCCCACGAGGTCGGTCCCCATCACCTGTGTCCCGGCGCTGCAAAACTTCACCGGGCGTTACGACCAAAGGCACCGGGGTTCCCTTCCCTCCTACCCACTTTCCAGACCCTCATTCGCCCCGTGAGCACCGTGAAGGCGGGACCTTGACTCTAGTGGCCTTTGGGATGCTGGATCCCTGCACCCTGTGCCTGGCACAGCGCTGGGTGCGGAGGGTCGGCTGGAATGGCCTGACCCACATGGGGTTTCCTCGCCGAGGTCCATTCAGTTTCCTGCGCCAAGTTGTCTCCCATGGTCCTGCCTCCCAAGGGCTTTCAAGAATCTAAGAGGAAGGAATATCCAAAAGACAGGCTGGATTTGGATCCTTTGTCTTGCCTGACATCAGGAGCAGTCAGGGCAGATGACATTTAACTGACATCGAAACTGGAGACCAAAAGATGAATGACTCCCTTGCAAGGTGATGATCGGGGAAGGATGTGGCAGTCTTTCAGTGACCCGCGGTCACCGCTGTGTCCTTCATCCCGCCCACCCATCCGTTCATCGAGCACCTGCCGGACGCCAGCACCCGGCTGCTGAGCTGCTAGGGCCGGGCCCCTGCCCAGGAAGCTTCGCTGCAAAGGAACTGAATGCAGCGGCGTCCGTGCCGGGTTGCTGGGGCCCGTGCGGGTGGGAGAGGGAGGCCGAGGGGCGGAGTCCCGGATCAGGAGGGGAGGTAGTTCGGGTTTGAGAACAGGAGGGACAGGTGCCCTGACGAGAGGGCGGATCGGGTCGCACCTGGAATCCCGACTCCGAACGACGACCCTGTTCACAGCGGAGGCGCAGTCCTGGGAGGCGACCCCTTCCCCGCCCCACCCCAGCTCACCTGGCGCTGACGGGACCCAGTAACAACACGCCCAGCGGCTCAGCGTGTTAGTTCCTGTCTCCTCCTCTCCCCCGCCCTGGAGGAGGCGCTGGCTCTCTCTCTCTCTTTTTTTTTTGTCGTCCAAGCGTGTCAGACACACTGGCTCCGCCCCGGCCACGGGGTGTAAAAGTTCAGTCGGCGCGAGCTTCGCCCAGGACAAGCGCAACGCGGGTCCTGCGCACGCCGCGGTCCGCCCGCCAGACCCGCACGGTTTTCTTTTTCTTTTGTCGTTTGTTTTTCCTTTTTTTGAGACAGAGTCTTGCTCAGTCGCCCCGGGTAGAGTGCAGGGCGTCATCGTGGCTCACTGCGGGACTCAAGCGACCCTCCCGCCTCGGCCTCCCGGAGCGCTGGGATTACCCGCCTGGCCGCCGCGCCCCGCCCGCCTGCCGATTCTGATCCACTTTGTAGTTTGACCCTCGGCGCCGCGCCGGGGACAGGAGCGCTCCGTAACGCCATGGGATTGGCCCCGGCACGGCGCGCCCCGAGACCCAGTCGCGAGCTGGAAGCCAGGTCACTGGTCTGGGTCAAGACCGTGGTCATCATAGGAGTCCTGCTGTCGGTGAGTCCCCGCTGCGGTCCGATGCTCGAGGAAAGTGCGCCTGGTGCTAGGAGGGGCAGGGGGAATAGGGGACAAAGACGGGGTGCCTGGCCCGGGCACCTGTGGTTCGTCCGGGCAGGACGAACCTGTACCGGAGTCCGGGAAAGAGCCGGGTCCCCCGCAACCGTCAGGACCTACCCGGCCGCGAGGGACAAGAACGCGCTCTGGGCGGCCTCGGAGCGGATTCCAGGAAGGAGGGAGGGCCTGGCCCGGCGGGAAGCTGCCCAGTGAGCCATGAGGAGCCACGGCCTGGTCGTCTGCCTTCCCTCTTTCCATTTTTCCTCCCTCTGTCCCTTTCTTCCTCCCTTCCTCCCCCCTTGTGAATTTTACTTTCTTGGGTATTGAATTTTGTTGTGTTTTTGTTTTGTTTTTGAGACAAGGTCTCACTCTGTTGCCCCAGCTAGAGTGCCGTGGCGTCATCATACCTCACTGCAACCTCAAACTCCTGGGCTCAAGCCATCCTCCTGCCTCAGCCTCCTGAGTACCTGGGACTACAGGGGCATGCCACCACGCCCAGCTATTTTTTTCTATTTTTAGTAGAGATGGGGTCTGCCTCTTGCTCAGGCTGGTCTTGAACTCCTGGCCTCAAGCAATCCTCCCACCTCAGCCTCCCAAAGTGCTGGGATTACAGGCATGAGCCACCTCACCTGAGACTAGTTGTGTTGTTCTTTTAAAATGCATTGGGTATTGGGATCAGTTTGATCATGTGATTTTAACTTTTAACTTTCTATTTTATCTTCAGTGGCTTTAGCCAGCACACCCCCATCATGAGGTGTGTCCACTATGGCATCAGGAACATGAGCGATTCCCAGTCCTGGGTGGGCCTGGATCTTAGACATCTGCTGATGTCTAATGGTCTCCCCTCACTGGTGGCTTCCTCTCTGGCACAGTCAGTCTCTGCAGACATTGGGTGTGCCTCTGCAGGGCTCCAGAGTTCTCTGTGCGGCTGCTTTTCCGGGTCTCTGCCCTGCACTCAGCCCCTGGGAGCTCCTGTCTGTGGTCGCCTCCCAGTGCTGCATCCTGGATCCTGTTCTTAGATGGTGAGCTGAGGCCACCACTAGGCTCACCTCACATGGCTTGGTGGACAGTTATCCACCCACGAAGTAGATGACGAGCTCTTAGCTCTGGGAAAGTCTGTGTGTGGGGTTGGGGGAGGACAAAAGAGCCCTGTGTGGATTTTGCTTCCTGAGAGACCACAGTCTGGTGGAGGAGGTGATGCCAGAGACCTAAATAATTCTCAGGAAGCACAAGATGCTACCATCTTTGCCTCCCCCACACTTCCCCCCACTCTCCCCACTTCCAGAGCAGCTGTGAGGCCTCTAAGGATGCCTTTCCTCCATATCTGACTCCGATGGAGGGGTTCGCAAGGCCCCTCAGTTATGTTATTGTTGGCCTGGAGAATGTGGCGTGATTACAATAGCACTGAGAGCCATGACTGTGGTAATCAGCTCATGTGCTTAAAGTGCCCTGTTCTCAGCACTTTATATACTTATTAACACATTTAATTCTCACAACAACCTCACTATGCAGGAACTTTGATTATCCAGGGCAGCTCTAAGTGTGTGGGTGATCTAGAGAAGAAAGAAGAGATTGCTTGGGTTAATTTGGATGTTGTTTTGGTTTTGAGACAAGCTATCACTCTCGCCTGGGCTAGAGTGCAGTGGTGTCATCATAGATCACTGCAACTTCACACTCGTGGGCTCAAGTGATCCTCCTTCCTCAGCCTCCTGGGTAGCTGGGACTATAGGTGTGCAATTCCTTGCACAGTGTGGTCACCAGAAGCCAGATGTGTCCTTTCTGAGGGAATGAATAACTTGGATTCTAGGATGCCCGCACTAACACTGATATTACGTCCTCACCCTGGTCGTAGAGTGTGTTTAATGTGAGAGGTGGAAAGTATGACAGGCAGGTTGAGGAGAGAACAGACGATCTGAATAGAATGCTGAGGATAGTCCAGGCCAGAGTCAACAGGGACATCCCTGATCCTATCAGCACTTCAAAGATAATTGGTTGCCCAGTGGACAGTGGATTAGATGGGTGACCTCAGAAGTGGCCTGGGCAGCATCAGGGATGTGTGCTGGTGGTTAGGTTGAGTGGTCACGTTGTATCATCCTGAAGGAGGGAGTGGCAGCCAGTATGGATCTGAGGGCGATGATTGTGGTAAAACAGACAGGTGATACGATGAATTTGGTAAGAAGAGGAAAAGAGATTCAGGGTGGATTCTAGTTTTCCTAATCTGAGAGTTGTCTGAGGTCATTAACAAAAAAGAAAGAGTAAATGGGCATAAAATGGCCTTAAGAATTAGGAATCTGGGCCAGGCACAGCGGCTCCCGCCTGAAATCCCAGCACTCTGGGAGGCCAAGGAGGAGGGATTGCTTGAGCTCAGGAGTTGGAGACCCCATGTCTACAAAAAATATAAAAATTAGCCAGGTGTAGTGGTGCCATGCACCAGCTAGTCCTAGCTATGTGGGAGGCTGAGGCAGGAGGATCGCCTGAGCCCAGGAGTTGGAGGTTGTAGTGAGCTATGATAACGCCACTGCACTCTAGCTGGGGCAACACAGCGAGACTCTGTCTGAAAAAAGAAAGAAAGAAGGAAGGAATGAATGAAGGAAGGAAGGAGGGAAGGAAGGAAGAAAAAAGAATTAGGAATCTGAATGTGATTTTGGAGACAGTATGGACATGTCATTGGCAGCAGACCTGCAGTACACAAAAGGCTAAATGACGATTTTAGTCTGAATAGAGATGACACAAAATGGAAACATGAATCTTAAGAAAGGGAGGAATATGGTTAGAAAATATGAAGGCACAGATAAAGAACTATTATTTCCTCTTTATTTGTTGAAAATATACATTATCAAATACTATAACAGTGTTTGTGGGGTTTGTAATATATGTACATGTCCAAGACAATTATAGCAAAGGAATGGGGGGTGGTGATGAATGGACACACATTATTCCAAGTCTCTTACATTTTACATTAATGTTACAGTGTTAACTCCACAACTAATAATTAAAATGAATGAAATATTGATGCTGTGACAATATGAGTGAATTTCAAAATAACTATGTTGAGTGAAAGAAGCCACATAGAAAAGTACCAATACTGATTTCCACTTATGAAATTTATAGCCAGAAATGTTTTAATTACAAAAAAAGAAAGATCTCAAATAAACAACCTAACTTTACAACTTTAGGAGCTAGAAAAAATGAACCAAACCCAGAAGTTAGCATTATAAAGGGAATAATTATTAGAACAGAGATGAATAAAATGGACAATAGAAAAACAGTAGAGAAAATCAACAAAACCCAACATTGGTTCTTCAAAAACATTAAGTGAATTGACAGACCTTCAACTAGATTGGTTATGAAAAAAAAAAAAAAAACTCTAATTACTGAAATCAGAAATGAAAGAAGGGGAAAAAAAGAAAAAAAAAAAGAAATGAAAGAAGGGACATTCCTACTGATTCTACAAAAATAAAAGGGAGCCCAAGATAATACTATGAGCAACTGCATACCAGCAAATTGGAATTGGATAACCTGAATGAAATGGACAAATTCCTAGGAACACAAAACCTACCAATACTGAATCTCAAAGAAATAGAAAATCTAAATAGTCCCATAACTGCTAAGGAGGTAGAATCAGTAATCATAAATCTCTAGACCAAAAAAATCCCTGAACCTGATAGCTTCACTAGTGAATTCTAACAAACTTTTAAAGAAGAGCGTATACCAATGCTTATCAAACTCTTTCACAAAATTGAAGAGAAGGGAACCTTTCTTAACTCTTTCTATGAGGCCAACATTGCTCTGATACCAAAGACAAACAAAGACACTACAAGAAAAAAAAGCTACAGATCAATACCCACAATTGATGCAAAAATCCTCAACAAAATACTAACACAGAGAATTCAACAGTATGTTAAATGGATCATACACCATGACCAAGTGGGATTTATTTCTGGAATGCAGGGATGATTCAACAAATGAAAATCAAGCAATTTAATACACCACATTAATAGAATGAAGGGGGAAAACATGTGTGATCATCTCAAGTGATGCAGGAAAAGCATTAGATAAAATTTAAAACCCTTTCATAATGAAAATCTGCAACAAACTAGGAATAGAAGGAAACTACCACAACATAAAAAAAGCCATACTAGAAAACTCCACAGTTTTCTAACATCATACTCAATGGTGAAAGACTGAAAGCTTTTCTTCTAAGATCAAGAACAAGATAAAGATACCCACTTTTGCCACTTCCACTCAACATGATACTAGAAGTTCTAGCCAAAGCAATTAGGCAAGAAAAAGAAATAAAGGCGTCTGAATTGTAAAGGAAGAAGTAAAATAATCTGTTTCCAAATCCTATGATCTTATTTTTAGAAAATCTGAAAGATTTCACAAAACAATTAGGACTGTCAAAAATTAAATCAGATCAAATTAGAAAAATTTAAAAAGTACATTATCACATAATAAGAGAAAGTACAGATAACAATCTGGGATACTTAAACCAAGTGGTAAGAAGCTTGCCTTACAATACTTATAGAATAGTTTATAAAGCATAGAGGAGGAAGTATTTTGACGTTTTCAAAAAACCAACTCGTAGTTTAATTGATCTTTTGTATTGTTTTTTCAAGTCTCTATTTTATTTATTTTTGTCCTGATCTTTATTGTTTCTTTCCTTCTGCTAACTTTGGGCTTAGTTTGTCTTCTTTTTGTATATCCTTGAGGCATAACATTAAGTTGTTTATTTGAGATCATCCTTCTTTTTTGATGTAGGCATTTATTGCAGTTTTCTCTTAAAACTGCTTTTGCTGTATCCTGTAAGTTTTGGTATGTTGTGTTTCCATTTTCATTTTCTTAAGATATTTAAAAATTTCCCATTTAATTTTCTTTATTGACTCACTGGTCATTCAGAAGCTTTTCTACTCAAGTCCTTTCCTCATTTTTTAACCAGGTTGTTTGCTTTTTGTTGTTGTGATTGATGAGATGGAGTTCTTTATATATTCTAGATAGTAAACCCTTGTCAGATATATAATCTGCAGATGTTTTTCCCATTCTGTGGGTTGCCCTCTCACTCTGTTGATTGTCATTTGATGCACAGAATTTTTTAGTTTTTACATAGTCCAGTTTATCTATTTTTTTCTTATGTTGCCTGTGTTTTTGATGTCATATTCAAGAAATCATTGCCAAATCCAAGGTCATGAAGAATTGCTTGTATGTTTTCTTCTAAGAGTTTGATATTTTTCACTATTATGTTAGATTTTTGATCCATTTTGAGTTAATTTTGAGTTAATTTTTATATATATGTAAGGTAAGGATATAAGCTTATTATTTTCTTATGAGTCAATGTCCAGATTTCCCAAAATGATTATTTGAAAAGATTGTCCTTTCCCCATTAAATGGCATTTGCACCTTTGTCAAAAATCATTTGACCATATACAGTCATGCACCACATAACAACATGTTTTGGTCAATGGTGGACCACGTACATAATGGTGGCCTTATATGATCATAATGCCATAATTTTACTGTATCTTTTCTATGTTTATATATGTTTAGATACCCACATACTTACCATTGTGTTATAATTGCCTACCTATTCAGGACGGCAACATGTTACAATTTGTAGCCTAGGAGAAACAGGCTATACCACATAGTCTAGGTATGTGGCAGGCTACACCGTCTAGGTTTGTGTAAGTGCACTCTATGATGTTGGCACAAAGACAAAATTGCCTAATGACTCATTTCTTGTAGCGCATCCCTGTCATTAAGCAATATATGACTATATGAGAGCATTCATTTCTGGGCTCCTCTATTCTATTCCGTTGGTCTGTATGTCAGGCACCTTTTTTAAAATTAGAAGTTCATTATTTAATATTCGATCCTAGATCCCAATTTTTAAAAAATTTTCATATAGTGTAACCTTCATTTGTACAAATGTGTGTGTCTGTGTGTAGATGCCAGAGAGAGAGAGAGGAAGAGTATTCATATATATGGTCAAATAGTGGAACTACGTGAGACAAAATATTGATGGATGCTATCTCTAGTTGAGAATATCACATATGGTTTTTGTGTTCTTCTAAAAACTTGCTCACATTTTCTGGAATAAACATGTGTTCTTTTATAATAAGAGATAAGGATAAAGAAGAGCTTTTCAAGTATATGTTACCTGGCTAGCCCTGAAATGTGAAGGGACAAACTTAAATACAAAAGAATGTTGGAGAATTTAGAGCTGGAGGAAAGATGGAGGTTCTGTTTAGTTTGGGCACCTGGGGTGAAGGGAATGTGAGATGGATCCTGGGTGGGGTGAGAGTCTGGAACCCACTCATGTCCATCCCTGCTTTGACCCCACAGGTCCTAGCTGACTCTGCCGCCACCAACCAGGACAGGGCTCCCCAGCAGATGACTGCACTCCAGCGATGGAGGCACAGCCCAGAGGAGGATTTGTGTCCACCAGGTACATTCTCCAACCCTTACTCCTCCTCTCCTGTTTCCATGAGCTTCCAGGTTTCTGCTTCCTGAACTCCTGGTTCTTTATTCCACAGGGATTTATTGGATGCCTTCTGTGAGTCAGGCACTGTGCTAGTGGATGGCAGGGGGCCCTGTGCTCCTGGAGCCTTCCTGCTGGGATGGAATGAATGTGGTCAGAGAGGCTGGCAGGAACCTTGAGGGATCATTGAGTAGGTCAGAGAAGGGCTTGGTGAGGCCTCCTGGGGATGGTGACGGTGGGCTGGCATCCCAAAGTGGGCAGGACCAGCGGTGCAGAAAGCCTGGAAGAGAGCTCCTGAGAGGGCCCCACAGCAGCGAGTGCCCAGGGGGCAGGGGCTGGGGGGAGGCTGCTGGGGTGAGTGGAGGGCAGAGAAGTCAGGGGGACAAGAGGGGGCAGGTCGCACATGGAGGAAGTTGGGTTTTATTTTGTGCGTGATTCACTTTGCTGGGAAGTTTTCAGTAGAGGGCTGCCAGGACCCGATTCGTACTTTTAGTGCCTACGCCTGGATTGAAGGAGGGCAAGACAGGACGCAGGTGGAGGGCCTTGTCGGGGGCGCTCCCCTGGGCATGTTACATGGCGGGAGTCTCAGCTCCATAGGGTCATCTGAGCCCTGGGGGAGGCAGCCGTGCCTGTCGGAGCTGCTTGACTGTTGTGTTTGTCTCACAATTGTTTCATTTTTTCTGCACACATGCGAGGTAGAAACAGATCGTCTGCTGCACCAGGGGCTTCTGGAGCTGGCAAAAGTAGCATGCTGTGATTTTTACAAACCATTTACGAATTTGCGTTTCATTACCGGGCACCACAGGAAAGGCTGCCCCTCCCTTCCAGGAAGGCAAACCCTCCTTGTACAGGAGAGCTTGTCAAGGGTCAGATCGTGGAGAAGGAAGTGCCCAGGCCAAAGCAGACACACACATTGAACTGTCAACGTGCCTATTGCTGCAGTCCAGGATGGAGACAAGGGAGCCGAAGGAGTAGGAAGGACGCTGGATGTATTTGGGGTGAACTGTCGGCACTTGAGGATGGATTGTATGCAGGGAGTGAGGACGAGTGAGGCACCAAACCCAACTGCTCAGGGTGAATTGAGCCTCTGAGGAGACAGTGTGTGGCAGGGCCAGCAGTACATATTTGGGGACCCCGGCACATAAGTGATTCTTGAAGCCTCAGTCTTGTGGGGTTCCCCAGAAGGATATTGTAGATACTGAAGGGAGGGGGCACAAGGACCCGGACACGGAGGTGCCAGTCCAGGGGACAGGTCAGCGAAAGGGCTGGGAAGGAACTGTCCATGGAACTTGCATCCCGGAAGGGGGAGAAGCTTCCTCGCACAAGAGTGGGCACCACACGCCAAGGATCCAGACGCAGAATCTCCTCTAAATTTGCATTTTTTTAGGGTGAGTGAGGTTGAGGATCTGTTCATGAGGCAGAAATGGTATCTGCCACTCTTTTTTTGTTTGTTTTTTTTTTTGGGACAGAGTCTCTGTTGCCCTGGGTAGAGTGCAGTGTCGTCATCATAGCTCACTGCAGCCTCCAACTCCTGGGCTTCAGTGATCCTCCTGCCTCAGCCTCCTGAGTAGCTGGGACTACAGACATGGGCCACCATGCCAAACTAATTTTTCTATTTTTTGTAGAGACTGAGTCTTGCTCTTGTTCAGGCTGGTCTCAAACTCCTCAGCCCAGGCAATCCTCCTGCCTCAGCCTCCCAGAGTGCTAGGATTACAGGCAAGAGCCACCGCACCTGGCCAGTGGAAGAGTTTAAACCATTTTTTGTTTAACATAATTACTGGGAAGGAAGGACTTGTTTTTGCTTTTTAGCTATTTGTTTTCTTTATGTCTTATATATTTTGTTCCTCAATTCTTCCATTACTGCCTTCATATATATATATATTTAGTGGTTTTCTTGTGTATCATTTTGATTCCTGTGTTCTTTGCACCTTGTGTGACCATTAACCTAGATCTTAAGGACATGTGTGTGGTATGGAGTTGACAAGGGGTAGACTTGTGATGGTTAATTTTATGTCTCAACTTGGTTAAACATTATTCTAGATGTTTCTGTGCAGGTATTATTTAGATAGGATTAACATTTAAATCAGGAGACTTTGAGTAAAGCAGATTACCCCCATGATGTAGGTAGACCTCATTTAATCAGTTGAAGGCCTTAATAGAAAAGAAACTGACCTCCCCCAAGGAAGAGGCAATTTTGCCAGGAGGTGGCCTTTGACTTGAGCTGCAACTCTTCCCTGCTGGCTTACCCTGTACCTTTTGGATTTGTCAGTCTTCACAATGGTGTGAAGCAATTCCTTAAGATAAATCTCTCTCTGGAGAGCCCTGACTAATACAGAATTATTAGACTGTACTTAATCTCCAAGTAAAGGCAATAACAAGGTCACACTTCTGCCTAACATGATACAACTATTCTGTATACAGCCCAAAACACACTAACCCTTTCTCCAGAAGAGAATGCAAAGTCCTTGGATGTTGTTTACTCTTCTCCTGTCTATCCTGTAACTTAAATACTGTGATGTAAATTAACAACACTTAAACACTATGATGTAAAGTCAATGCATCTTATGTTATATAAAGGGATAAGAGGGGGAAGAAAACAAAGATATTTGCTTAACATATATCTACACACAAAAACATAAGCATAACAAAGGAAGAAATACTTATAACAATAACAGTCTTTGTTTCAGTAACTGGTCATGTATTAATAGTTATAGCTGATATTAGCTGGTGTTTATAATTACCTCCTTTCACTACCCATTGTGTATTCCTTTTGCCTTCACCAAGCACCTCAGCTGGTGATGGCTCTATGTCTGGTAGCGTGACCCAGGGTTGCTGTAGATTTCCATTGGCTTTAATCACAGGGCATGGTGACACCTTAGTGTCACCACTAAGAGATGCCCTAAGGCTGCGGTCTCCAACCCCCGGGGCCTCAGACAAGTACATGTCCATGGCCTTTTAGGAACTGGGCTGAGAGAGAAGCTTCATCTCTATTTGCAGCCACTCCCCATCACTCGCATCACCTCCTGAGCTCCGCCTCCTGTCAGATCAGCGGTGGCATTAGATTCTCACAGGAGTGCAAACCCTACTGTAAACTGTGCATATGAGGGACATAAGTTGCGAGCTCCTTGTGAGAATCTAATGCCTGATGATCTGACAGGAGGCGGAGCTGAGGTGGTGATGCTAGTGCTGGGGAGCAGCTGCAAAATCATCCCAAACCCCATCCCCACCCCAGTCCGTGGAAAAATTGTTTTCCATAAAACCAGTCCCTGGTGCCAAAAAGGTTGGGTACCACTGTCCTAAGGAATCTCCTGTATTCCAGCATATTCTTTTTTACCTCCACTGTTCAACCAGTCTGATATCTCCCTTGGTAGTCAGGATCAATCGTCCCAGTAAGTAACTTTTTTGCCCGTTGATTCAGAAGCATGAGGAACCCAAAGAGGCCAGGTAGCAGTCTTAACTTCAAGTCATTGATATAATAGATGAAATCATTGTTGTGTCTCCTGGTGAAACTTGGGAACTAAGCCCTTGAGGCCAGCAAAGCATAAAGTTGCAGGAACAGGAAGCAAACATTTTGCTAGTGGGCACTGAGGATAATAGTGAGTGGTACCACTCCCATTTGCATCCCTTGATTCCTGGACCTGTGAATCCTGGCTATAAAAATAGCAATTCTCCTCCTTCATATTGTTGTTGTCATAGACACATTCTTGTACACCGTGTGATCATCAACATAGATTTATAATTATTGTTTTATGCATTTGCTTTTTAAACCATATGGGTAAAAAAAGAGGATTTACAAACCAAAGGTACTATAATACTGTGCTGTGGACTCAATCTTGTCTCCCGAAATTCATATGTTGAAGCCTTTCCACCCAATGTGATCATATATGGAGATGGTGTCATTGGGAAGTAATTAGGTTTAGATGAGGTCATGAGGGTAGAGCCCTCATGATTGTATTAGTGCCCTTTTTTTTTTTTTTTGAGACAGAGTCTCACTCTCTTGCCTGGGGCAAGTGCCGTGGCGTCAGCCTAGCTCACAGCAACCTCAAACTCCTGGGCTCAAGCAATCCTACTGTCTCAGCCTCCCGAGTAGCTGGGAC